GTCCGCAGGAGTCAATGCCAGGCCCTCGGATGGCATCCATCGACGGCATTCTCACCATTTCAAGTCGCACTTGAGCCCGACGAACCTCTCGCCAGCGCAAAAGGCACAGCTTCTGAGACAGCATTATTTCCGATCGCAAACCCAGTTCTTGTCTGCTCTCGAAGGCATCTCCAACCGGCTGGTCGCCGTCCCGAAACCCGCCCGCATGAGCGCTCTGCGAGCCGAGCTGGCCCTGATTGGCAGAGATTTGCCTGCCGAAATCGACATTCCCATCATTTGCCCGCCGACGCTGATTGACGGGGCGCCGGGCAAAAGCCGCCATCATCGAGTCGTACGACTGAACCCTGCCGAGGCCACGGTTCTGAACAGCGCCGAGAAGGTGCCGTATCTACTAATGATCGAGGTGCTGAGAGACGACTTTACGTTTGACCCCGAGAGCCCGGACAACCAGCGGCTTTTGACCACTCTCCTCGGCGGCAGCGGGCCCAGCAAAAGACTGTTTGACCTCTCTTCGGAGATTCCCAGGGCTGCCCAGACCGTTCCGCCTCCCGAGCCCCTCGTCGACAGCGTGTTCGAGCCAACCTCGGGTGATTTGGGCAGCTCGCCGCTGCTCAAGGCCTTTGAAGAAGAGGCGCCGTCCGTCGGCTATCACTCGAAGCACTCTCCCGACCAGCGATTCTCTAGCGGAGCAACGACTGCGTCTACGACGCTGGATGCCATGACACCGCGCACGTCGGGGCCCTACTCCTCTCGATCGCCCAGTCCCGGCTCTCGACGGCGCATGACGCTCAACATGGCTCGCGCCGACCAGCCTGACTTTTCGGCGCTGGCCACACACATGAGGACAGCCTCTCAGATGCTCGCCCAGCTTGAGGCTACGAGCGGCAAGCGGCCCAAGCACGAGGTGGCTGCGATCCGAGCCAAAATCATTGCGAGCATGCAGAGCCTCGAGGAGCAGAGCTTCGACGCCGACGAGCAAGGCCCCACGTTTGACACCATCATGGCCAAGGCCAGCACGGCCAGCGCTATACAGGGCGTCGATCCGGATCTGGACGAGGAGGAGGCGGCCCCGGTCGACCCCAACATCAACGCCAGCGCAGGAAGGGAGAGGATGGAAAACGACATCAAGACGGGAGGCGTCCAGCGCCGTGGTGATCGCGACGACCCTAGTGCGGCTGTCTTTGGAGAAGCCTGGGA